TAGCATTTTCAGCTACATGAAAGAAATTTTAAAATATGCTAGCATAATGAATCTTGTTTGCCTTCTCACCAACTTTCTGTTCAACCCACGACTACGAACGCAAACAATACTTAGATCCGTAGAGACCGCAGATATCGTAGCTGTCTAAAGGTTAATTTTGGACCGGCTGGATAAAAAAAAAGAGAGAGAAAAAGAAACAAACAAACAACAGAGTATTAAGAAAGGTCAGTTGATCTTTCAGTTTATACAATCCTCTACTGGAGGTCACGCATTCCATTACCTTGATTCCTCAGTGTTAACTACTCTGTATTGATACTGATTAAGGTGTTCTCTCCCAGGATAAGAGCTTTTGTGACTGTTTCTTGGCTTTGTCTTCGTAGTTTAAAATCTCGCTTCAGCCTGCGAAGTCCTTTGTGTCTTCTAGCTAAAACGTGTTATGAAGGCGATTCGAGGTTCTTAGGCTTGACTTTTGTCGACTTACGTAAAAGTTTGGGAATGTTGGGTTAGGAGTATTAGGGTACATGCGAACCTATCGGGTTGCAACGGGTCATTGGTTCAAAAAAAAAGTCAAAGAAAACCCGTAGATCCCTTAATGCAAAAACCAGGCTAGAAAAGTCGAGTTTCCAATAGCACACCAGTTTACCATAAATACCATGGAGAAAAAGCATCACTGACTGCACGACTCGCTTTAGAGCTCGTACGCGGGGTGAATTCTGCTTTTTCATTTTGTCCTACCCCACACCGTTTAGTTTTAATGATCACTTCCGATTTTTAATAACCTTGACGACCTTGACTACGGCGCGCAAATATTTAGGTATGGAAACAGCCCGTAACTGACTTCCACGCAACTTCAAGAACTCTAAATATTGGTTTTGCTTCAAGATTTTAATGGTTTACTAGACGCTCAATCAGTGAAACGTTCTGAAACGTTGAGAATTGAAAATAAATATATCGCATTACCTACTCACGGACAGTCAATGGTTAAATCACGGAAGAGGTAAACCTAACCAACGCTACGTATATGACGAGAAGGAAAAAGATCAACCCTAGTTCAGGGTTATACGCTTTCTACTGTCATGACATATTTCAAAAACCTTAGTAAAAGGGTCCTTGAAAAGGAGCTGCTTTCTTTTACTTGCTATGTTGGCTTTGTGGTTAGCAAACGATGAATGTCTGTCTGATGACACGCAATCTAAACTGAAGATTGGATCTTTTCATAAATAAAGTTTTACATTATGATTTATCCGGCCTCTTTGGCAAAGGTCCTTGAAAACAAGTTTGTCCTTGTAATAAGATGATCTTTCCAGCAAAAGAAATATAACTGCATTATATTCATCCGATGACTCTGGGCTTAACTCTTTGATAGTCAGTCGTCGAAATTATGTAGATAACTTGAAAAGATCACGTGACACTGAAAACACGTGATCAATAGCGTACGTAAGACTTATTGACTTTACCTTCAATATGAAGATTTCATTTCCAAAATAATAATATAGATGGTATGATAATAATAGAAACCATTAAAAAAGGTTTACATATGATACAGCAAGGATTCTAACCATCCCGCAATTAAGAGGATTTATAAATCCCGTGAATATTTTTAATCCAAGAGCGCTTTGTTTTGCTACCACCCTTAGAATGAAAAAAAAGTTAAAAAATTGTCATCCACATCAGTAATAACCAACTCCCATTTAAGGTCTTTTTCCCCTCGCTGGATGGCAGTTCCGACGCCAAAAAAATTGCCCTATAACTTGCACAAGTAAGCCTGGTCGTAGCCGAGCTAAGGATCTTTTAACCCTGTGAGTAGAGGTTCTTGGATTTTTGTTGTGATCTATGCAATTTTAGAAAAGAAAACAATTAAACACTGACAAACAGATGAAAAAGAGGATTGCCGCCCCTTCTCCTGGTTGACTCCCTTCATCATAGTTTTGAGCTGCAACTGAACAAGAAAACGCAAGCTTTGCGCAACGAGGCCAAAGCAAATGGCATATATATTTTAAGATAGTATCTGTAAACCAGATAGGGTCATTTTAATTTATATTAGTAACGTCTTTTTCTACCATGAAGCTGTCTGCTTCCATACCATGCATAAGTGCAGCTGTTCTGTTAAGGTATGCCGGTATGGCTGTTCGGCATTTCGGCTTTGTGAGACTTTTAAAAAATCCACGGGCATCGTCACTTAACTGATCAAAATCCTCCTCTACAGCATGGGTGATCCCTGGAAATAAGAAATAAAGAAAACATCTGATATTACAGTATGTTCTATGACCAGCGCGTAAGATAACTGAACCTTTGAGAGTAAACTGAGTATACAATCTGCAGTCCCGTTGGCCTTAAGGGAAATCAATGAGTGAAATTTTCTCTGGCTCCAGCCGGTCCATGGACCAACCAGTCTCTGTTTTTTTTTTTTTTAACAGGGATTGGTCGGCAGTTTTTCTTCTCACCCGTCACTTGGCCTTTTTCAGTTGAATAGTTCTTCTGTATGACTAGGTCAAATGCACCCTCACATCCACGCCTTCAATTTAGCCCCGCTTAAAAGATAGAGTAATCTGTTAAGGACTCCTTCCTCAATTAAGCCACCACTCCCATGCCACTTAAACTTTCACATACAAGCTGATACATTAAAGACTGTATTAAAAACAATATTAGTATTGAACGCAAATGACTAACACTATAAGTGNCCTCTCGTCCCGTGCGCGTCCTCTGAATTCATAAACCGGTGGCGCTTCCGTTTTTTGGGGTGAGGTAGATGATTCAGAGTGGATAACATGAAGTGGGACGCTTATTGCCGTAGTAGCATCTTGGAGAGGTCTCTTGGAGCTCTTTAGTTTAAGCCTCTGAAATTGTCGATTTTGCGCAGTAAGATTGATGCAATTGTATGATAGCTACAGAAGTTAGTTAAATGGGGCTATGTGAGTGCACGAGTCACATGAGGCCAGGAATGGGGCTACCTCGCTCCCCGGAGTGTCTCTTCTTAAGAGAACCTGAGAACGAGGTTAAGAATGAGCCTTCTTTCTTCTCATGCCAACCCTACAGAGAGGCGAAGAGTGACGTTACGTTACCATGGTAGCAAAATTTTTGGATCACAACAAGAGGGAGCTAGCGCTACAACGACGGCGACGGCAACGGGAACGGCGAAGAAAGCAATAGGCTTAATTTGGCAAAACAACAACCTCGCACGAGCATCACGCTATTGTTGTACATTTCTTAGCCCGGCGTCGCTGAATGACAGCGACATGAAACGTTCTTATTTCACGCGCCCACTTTATGGAGTACGTGAACACAACACAAAATGTTCTTTTTCTTTTTCTGAACTTAGATACAGTCCTTTCGGATTCAACCCCTTATACTACTACATGAGAAATTTCTGCAATTTGATTGGCTTAGAGCAGTGGTATTTCAGCTTAATTTGAAATACCTACATGTGAAAATTACAAACCTTTTGCGGGTTGTAGTATAAACAAATAATAGCATGATTTGTACGTGATATTTGGCATAATTACCACTTGTGATATTTCAAAATTGTCTCAAATTTCACTCGCCTAACGGCTCGTGAAATTACGTATAACAATTTTAAAATATCACTCGTGGTATTTATGCCAAATATCACTACAAATCATGCTATTACCTATACAAATTTCGCCACTATTTGACACATTAAATGAAATTGAATAAGATCGATGAACTTCGAAACAGTGCGAATGTACTTTTAAGAGCCGCTTTCGGTTTGACAGTCTCATCCAGAAACTTTGCTACTATGGCGACGTGACCTAACGACTTCTCCTCTTTACTGATGTCACCTTCTTTCTACTCGCTCCAATTTTCCTCCGCATCTTTAGTTATTAGTGAGCAATCTCTCACCCTAAAAATATGCCTACCCAACTAATGAAGCCTCAAGAAACTCTAAGGCTCGTTATGCCTTTCTTCAATGTATTAAGGCTGGTCTTCTGCTACATCGGAAAAGAAACACCGATTCTACGTATTGTTTCTTGGATTCTAGATTCCACGCCGTGGAATCTGGATTCAGGATGATTTATCAATGGAATTTGGATTCCGGATTCTAGTCGTTAGTGGGACTCAGGATTTCAAAGTCCAGGATTCCGGATGCCACAGCAAAAATTCGTTAGATTTCGGATTCCATAATTGAGCAAAAATTTCCCGGATTGCAGAACCCGGATACCCTTTCATGAGGCGAATTGTTGTTGGTCTAATAATATTCAGTTCTTCGCGCAGAAATTTGTTTGCGATAACTGAAATAAGTGAACATTGCTAAACTTTGTCCATTAGAGGGATTCTTACCAGACATAATGCGATAGCGGCGATTAAGAAGATGACTATCAGAGCGACGGTTATGCCAATTCCTATTCTTGTTGATTCTGAAAAATCCTCTGAGATGTCTGGCTTGTCTTTTCCCAAGATCTCAACACTTTCTACCTGTCGAAATGATATGTGGAATAACCAAAGTCAGTGTGAATGCAGCCGAATAGTGCTTCCTTAGGACGATTTTTTTTCTTTTCTCTTTTTTTTTTTTTGCGATTCCGTACAAGGCAGTTCTAAAGATGAGACCGCATGGGCTGCTGAAAGTGTGATTGCAAGCAAATTTGACGTTACCTGTCCGATGAAGACTGGATCCAAAAGAGCCATCTTTTTGTTTTTCCAATAATCACGCATTTTAATATAAGCAAGAATCGTGATATTTCTGTCAACATCTCCAGTACCAAGGTCATTTTCACTTTTCGAGACGAAGAAATCCAAAATTGCCTCAGCATTGTTGCCTTTTCCCTTGCACAGTTCCGTAACATTTATGAAGCGAATTCTGCTGGCTTTGACCACGTTTGCCTTTGCGTCATAAAGTTTTTCCGAAAGTTTTTCGGCAAAGAACGGAACAAAGTGGCAGAACCTACGCCATACCATTTTCCATGACACCCGGACGTAAACACTAGGAAGATCTTTTGTGGAACACTCTGTGATAAAGATCAAAGCAAATTACAGTCATCTCTGCCTTTCGTACGCACAGTAATTTTCAAGGAGTTATAATAACTCCTCTTGTGGGGCTAATTTAACCCCTTACAGTGGAGTTATTTTTTGTGGAGTTTTTTTCAACTCCAAAAAGGAGTTTAAAGAACTATTTTTCAGGAGTAAAAGTGACCCCAGATATTGAGGAGTTAAAATAACCCCTAAAAAGGAGTTATCCTGTACCTCAAATTTGTACTCCACTTTCAGAGTTAAATAAACTCCAGAAAGAGTAAAAAAACAACCCTTGTAAGGAGTAAAAATAACCCCATTTCGGAATTATTTTAACTCCAGACTGGGAGAAAAAAGAACTCTTTTTCAGGAGTAAAAATGACCCCAAATTCGGAGTTAAATTAGGAGTTAAAGTACCCCCAAAAAGGGGTTATCCTTTACCTAAAATTTTTACTGCAGTTTTGGAGTTATAATAACTGCCTAAAAATTACGGTGCGACATAAGCTATAAGAAAGCAACTTCTCGTTGAAGAAAAACTCTGATTGGTCCGGGCTGCAGTTTATCTGAACTGATCTCTCATTTTTTTTGATTCTGATCTCTGTTGAGCGAAGAAACATCTATCTAAGACGGACGCTTAGTCTCCTTCTTAAGGTGAGATGACTACATAATTTACTATCAACAAGACGACGAGAACACAAACTGATATGCATTTTTTTACGGTTTTTCTGTTTACACAGGGCTAAATCGGAGTTAACTTTAAATTTCCCGCGGCTAGTTAAAACTGTCTTTAAAAAATTAAGAAAGAATTGGTTAAAGTTACGAGTTATTAACGCCACGTATTTGGGGCAACCTGTATGAAGTTCTTGGGCTTTTCTGACGAAACGGTTGTTAAAATTAAAGCTTTTTCCTTATATGGACTAAAGTTCTCTGTCTAACTAGACAATTCAGATGCTTGGAGCAGTAGCCTAGCGACCCCGAGCCATAAGCCCATAACTGCTGAGAAAACTGTCATCAAGTAGTGCACCCCTCTCCTCCTCCGTACGAACCCATGTAGCACCCAGTAGCCCATTTAAATCAGTACAAAACTCATCACCAACCCAGATCAACTCATACTGAAGACCTTTATCACAACCGGTGTAAAAGTGGTAAAAATGTGACAGTTTGGATGAAAAAAGATCAAAGTATCTTTCGCAGTCATCAGTTTTAATGCATCCATACATACCTAAGTGGAAGCTACACATCACCACAATGAATAACGCCAAGAACCTCATGATATTAGACTCTGGCTGACCTAATAAACAAAGGGAAATTAAGTTTTGTTGTATCAGCAACTGATCAAATAGTATGTTCGAAGTTCATCGCTCTAGTCAAAGTTCCTTCTGATCTTTTTACGTTACAAATCCATCAATAGGCAGTCGGATAAAATCAAATGATCAGCCAGAGTCCGTCCGTCTGTCCGTCCGTCAGTCAGTCAGTCAGTAAATCAACAAGCATGACCGGCTTACTGAGTATTTTTATACCCCTAAATAGAAAATATTTGTCGGCCATACAGACCTTGATCCCCGGGGAGGGGACTCCCTACAATGGCCTATACAGGGAAGCTCCGTCCAAAAGGGGTACCTTTTTGGTGCTTATTTCAGATATATGAAAGGGCAGGGAAATCTGTCATTTCGGTCTTTAAACAGTCCAAGCTGACAGATGCACTATGACTCTGGAAAAGTGGAGAAGACGTTCTGGTTTTGTCATTTAATTACTCAATACTTGAAAGACACTGCATTCACAGCGGTTAAAAGAGATGCAAGTTCTAACTAGGTGTGAAAGGGGTACTATTTGATCAATTAAAGGTGTACGAAAAGGATAACTTTTCTGTCCAAAATGGTATATAAAAGGGTAAGAGTTGGACCTCGGGGCGGAGCTTCCCCGTATAAAACTTTGTTGAGTACCCCCCTCCCGGGCCTTGATTATCAGTCGGTACTGGGTCAGTCTATTATACAGGCAGCTGTCAATCACCTATGCTACGCCAAAAGTGACAAAATATCAAAGATGCAACTTTATAATTCAAATCCACCAATTCACTATCAAGATCGATAAAATTAACATCAGTCTGCTTTTTTAATGTGTCAAGATTGTAGAATTTAATTTTAATTCCCACGTGTTTCATGTCATGTATCAAGAGACACGTTTTCTAAATCAAGATGCACGTTTGTTAAATCAAGAAGGGAGACGACAACTTTTGATCAGTTTTGTTTCCGAGAGAGACTGAAACCGAAAAATGTGCCAGAGTACTTTAGTATGCAGGAGGGAATCGAAGAACTTGTCTGAAGAATCATTCGAGCAGCACAAGAAGGAGTTAACACATCTCGAGCTAATGTGGCCTCAAACGTGTCAACACCTGATGAAGAACTGAGGCGGCGATTTAAGAACGAGATAGGCTCGATCTGTTTAGTCCAAATTTTATTTGATTTATTTTTGCGTTCACTTCCTTTTTGGACACTACGTGACTACTTATATCATGTTAGTTTCGGATGGTCACATGACCACAGCAAAAGCAGATCACCACGTGTTTTCATGAACGGAACAAAGTGGCAGAACCTACGCCATACCATTTTCCATGACACCCGGACGTAAACACTAGGAAGATCTTTTGTGGAACACTCTGTGATAAAGATCAAAGCAAATTACAGTCATCTCTGCCTTTCGTACGCACAGTAATTTTCAAGGAGTTATAATAACTCCTCTTGTGGGGCTAATTTAACCCCTTACAGTGGAGTTATTTTTTGTGGAGTTTTTTTCAACTCCAAAAAGGAGTTTAAAGAACTATTTTTCAGGAGTAAAAGTGACCCCAGATATTGAGGAGTTAAAATAACCCCTAAAAAGGAGTTATCCTGTACCTCAAATTTGTACTCCACTTTCAGAGTTAAATAAACTCCAGAAAGAGTAAAAAAACAACCCTTGTAAGGAGTAAAAATAACCCCATTTCGGAATTATTTTAACTCCAGACTGGGAGAAAAAAGAACTCTTTTTCAGGAGTAAAAATGACCCCAAATTCGGAGTTAAATTAGGAGTTAAAGTACCCCCAAAAAGGGGTTATCCTTTACCTAAAATTTTTACTGCAGTTTTGGAGTTATAATAACTGCCTAAAAATTACGGTGCGACATAAGCTATAAGAAAGCAACTTCTCGTTGAAGAAAAACTCTGATTGGTCCGGGCTGCAGTTTATCTGAACTGATCTCTCATTTTTTTTGATTCTGATCTCTGTTGAGCGAAGAAACATCTATCTAAGACGGACGCTTAGTCTCCTTCTTAAGGTGAGATGACTACATAATTTACTATCAACAAGACGACGAGAACACAAACTGATATGCATTTTTTTACGGTTTTTCTGTTTACACAGGGCTAAATCGGAGTTAACTTTAAATTTCCCGCGGCTAGTTAAAACTGTCTTTAAAAAATTAAGAAAGAATTGGTTAAAGTTACGAGTTATTAACGCCACGTATTTGGGGCAACCTGTATGAAGTTCTTGGGCTTTTCTGACGAAACGGTTGTTAAAATTAAAGCTTTTTCCTTATATGGACTAAAGTTCTCTGTCTAACTAGACAATTCAGATGCTTGGAGCAGTAGCCTAGCGACCCCGAGCCATAAGCCCATAACTGCTGAGAAAACTGTCATCAAGTAGTGCACCCCTCT